CAACAGAGAGAGAGAGAGAGAACATTTTGCCACAACGCCAAAGTGGATCAATAAACTAGAGTCTGTGCTCTGGCTCCCTCCTGATCTCCAGAACAAGCAGCGCTCAAAGGACCAACAAGCACACAGCTCACTCCTCCTAATACCAGCCAGCGAGGCTTGACTCATTCACTCACTGTCGGCTTCATTAGATTTATCTTCCAAAAGCTTTCCAGCCCGGTCACCCGATGACAGGGAGATCTGCGTGCCAGGGCTGTGTGTCTTTCCATTAGGATATTACACAGCGATCCAGGCAGTAAATAACACACACACCAAGGCAAACTGCTGTGTGATAGGAAGCAGCCTAATTCATTTAACAATAAATTTCCTGCCAGCGCTTCCACCCCCACCCCCGCCCCGCACCGCCCGCACCACCCTCCCCCCACCCCAACCGAATACATACACACACACACACACACACAGCACAGGACGTCCCAAGGTGCTGGACGGTCAGAGAGGGGAGAGTGGCGGGAGTGGGATCAGGTGGGGTGAGGGGTCGGAGGGTGCCCGAAGGTGCGTTTGAAAAGGAGGGTCATCAGACACGCACACACACACACACACGCACGCACACGCACACACACGCACACACACACACACACGCGCGCGCGAGCGCACACGCACACACATGCACCCGGCATTAAATGATTCATTTGTGATTACAAATAAAATGTAACTTCTACCTCGCACAGTGCCCCACCTCACCACTCAGCTCCCGTTACCCCAGGAAGCCAAAGCCCTGATGGGTAGGATGGTCCATGTCAGACAAGTAACAGGAACGCTTGCCAGACAGCGCTCTCAATAGCTAATGTGGTTTTTGCCGGTTAGTCTCCAGCAGTTACCCCCGACACACACTCTGGGCTCCGCCAACCCTTGGCTCTTGCCGATATGCGCAGAATGCACTCTGGAATTAAGTAAGCAGAGTGGATCCCTCGAGAGATAGAGAGAGAGAGAGAGAGAGAGAGAGAGAGAGAGAGAGAGAAAGAGCGAGAGAGTTTGTGGTTTTCACTCCAGACACCGGAAATTTTCCATCAGGATATTAAATGAGGATATTATTAATATTATGTATTAGTGTGGGTGGCATACATGTGTGGGAACTCACAGTCTGGTTTGGAGACACTTAAACATGGCAATTAGTTTCCGTATATGTCAGACACGCACACACAACACACACCTCCGTGGTGTGAGACTCGCGGAATCGGAATCAACTCGCCGACCAAACAATGTCTAATTAACGTTACCATCACGGCTCGTTAGCGAGACCAAACAACATAGCACGCGAGGAGCATAAAGTTTTATAATAGGGAAGGAGAAATAAAAACCTCCAGAGCTTAAATGTCACTTATAAATATTTGATTTTCATCCGCAAAGAAAGCTGGTGTCTGCTGATGGAGTCGGCTGCATTATGCATAAAATCGCAAGGTACTAAGTCTCTCTGGGGCAGCGTGAATCTGTGTAGCAGGCGGGAGAGGATTTTATATGCATACATTTTATATGACTTTAATATCACTCGAACGTCAGCTCCCACCCATCCCCTTCCCTCCCACCGCCCACCCTCAACCCCGCCGTCAGGTGTAGTGACGGCGTGTTCTGCAGGCGAATCAACACCGACAACAACAGCCGCAGCATTACAACAATTAAGCAGCGCCTTTCAAGCCGGAAGGACGTCCCGCGATGCTGGACAGTGAGGGGCCGATAACAATAGTAATAATAATCCTGGCGTTTGACACAGCGCCTCATCACGTCTTCGAGACGTCTCAAAGCGCTTCACAGAATATACTGTAAAGCGGAGTGACTGTGTATTTTGTGGGCGAAACGCCACAGCCAATTGTGCACAGCAGTGTCCCCACAAACAGTCGTGGATTATTACGTTAAACACCTCAATAAGAGCACCTCTCAACCTTCTAAAACTCAAGGGAATACAAGCCAAGTTGATGCAACCTGTCCTCATGATTAAACCCCTGGTATGTCCCGAAATTCTGGAACACTCTTCCTCCATTCCCTACCTCCCCCCCCACCCCCACCCCAGCCTTGACCCCTTCCTTCCTCATCTTCAGGTCCTGGATACAAGCTGTTGTTGTTGGCATCATTGTGATATTCTGGTATGGATACCGAGCGTGTGGATGTGCAGGATGGCTGAGCGATGCTGGGGTGGGTTGCTAAGTTGTTGGGTATTTCCACTGCCCCTTCCTCTATCCCCCCGACCCCCAAACCTCCCTCTACCCATCCCCCCCCCCCCCCACCCACTCTGAGACACGGGATCTCAGCACAGGATCCCTGTCACTAGACAGTGAACGCCACAGCTACTCAGCGGGTAATCACCCACAGAGACAACCGGTGCTTCACACTGCCGACACCTCCACAGGTATAATAAGCACCTGAGCTGTGCTGGATGATATAATAATAATAATAATCCTTGCATTTGATACAGCGTTTCATCACGTCTTCGAGACGTCTCAAAGTGCTTCACAGAATATACTGTAAAGTGAAAGTGACTGTACACTTTGTGCACAAAATTGTGAAATTATGACTGTCCCACAAACAGTCGTGGATTGAGTGATCAAAATCATTATTTTTATTTGTTTTGAAAGAAATTATTACCCCCGGAAAAGCCACCCGCCAATTGACTAACAACAGGATTCCTAATTACTGTTAGGTAAACAGAGGCGTGTGGAACTTGCCCAACATTTCGCTCTGCTGGGAATCGAAACCAGTTCCTCTCGCTTGCGAGGCAAGTGCTCTAACCACTGAACTACAGGACTCCACCTAAGTCTTTTCAATTCATTTCTCTCCATCACCGACACACGGGGAAACCCAATAGAGAAATAGCAAGAGTTTCTTCCCCAGAAAAGGGCACTGAGTGCCTCTGGCTGCCCCTCGACCAACCAACAAGAAAATCTTTATTTTCTCCCGAGTTAATGCAGTGAGACCCAATTTAGCTCTTCACTGCCCAGTTCCCGCTCCATCCATGTTTATAATAATCCTTGCACTTGGTATCGCAACTTATCACGTCATTGAGACGTCTCAAAGCGCCTCCCAGAATACACTGTAAAGTGGAGTGACTGTGTGTTTTGTGGGTGAAACGCGGCAGCCAGTTTGCACACGGCAATGCCCAGCAAACGAGTGACCGATTTTATTTGGGGAGACTGTTGGCCAGGATACCGGGAGAGAGCAAATTTCTTCTTTTATCGAATAGCGCCACAGGATCTTTAACATCCACCTGAACAGGCACAGACGACCTCGGTTTAACGTCCATTCCCATGCTCTCTCCCCATCGTGTCTGCGCTGGTGCGCGCTCCCCCACTGGAGCTCTCTACTGTAATCCCCGCTCTCTCCTTATCGTGTCCCATTACTTGTTACACACAGTCATAGTCTAGCCCTAGTCTGCTACTTGTGAACCCGGCAGCGCCTGACACGTTAACGGGTGATGGACGACGGGAGATGACTCTCCCTTGGGAGATTTCAGCGCCTTGGGACGTCCTCCCGACGTGAAAGGCGCTCTATGAACGTAATTTTCTTGCTGCTGCTGCTGAATCCTGTCCAGGTTTCAACGAGCTCGCGCTCTCCTCACCGTGGCTCACGCCTATGATCTCAGCTGTGGTTGTGTTGCTGCCGCTAGTTACGGTGGAAAACAAGCCACATTCATTAGCCAAAAGTTAATTGGGTCATTTCTGGTTGCTAAGCTACTTAATTTGCATTATGTCTTATGTTCCACCAGAGAGCTTTGCAAATTTTTCCTCTCGCTTGTTCTCTGCCTCCCCGTTATTGTCCCTCTGAAATCAGAGGGGGCATGTGTGTGCGTGCGTGTGTGCGCGTGCTTGTGATTGAACCTGTGTGTGAGTATGTGAGCGCGAGTGTATGCAGGTGTGTGAGTGCGAGCGTGTGTGCGTGTGAGCACAAGCGCGTTTATGTGCGAGCGTGTATGTGTGCGCGGAATCGTGTGTATTTATGAACGCAAACGTGTGTGTGTGTGAGAGCGTGACTGTGTGAGTGTGCAATCGTGTGTGAGCGTTTGAGTGTGCATGAGCGTGACTGTGTGTGTGCAATCATGTGTGTGTGAGCGTGAGTGCATGATTGTGCGAGCGTGTGTGTGAGTGTGCGATGTGTGTGTGTACGCACAGAATCATGTTCATGTCTGAGCGTGAATGTGTGTGAGTGTGAATGTGTGAGCGTGTGTGTGTGTGAGTGTGAATGTGTGAGTCCGTGTGTGTGTGTGAGAGTGTGAATGTGTGAGTGTGTATGTGAGTGTGAATGTGTGAGTACGTGTGTGGGTGAGTGTGAATGTGTGAACGTGTGTGTGTGTGAGAGTGTGAATCCGTGTGAGTGTGAATGTGTGAGTGTGTGTGAATGTGTGAACGTGTGTGAGTGTGAATGTGTCAGTACATGTGTGTGAGTGTGAATGTGAGTACGTGTGTGTGTGTGAGAGTGTGAATCCGTGTGAATGTGTGAGTGCGTGTGTGTGTGTGTGTGAACCTGCGTGTGTTTGTGTGAGAGTGTGAACGTGTGAGTGCGTGCGCGTGTGTGTGAACCTGTGTGTGTATGTGTGAGAGTGTGGATGTGTGCGCGTGTGTGTGGTGCGCACAGAGAGAGAGAGAGAGAGAGAGAGAAACTCCCTTCTCTCTTCGAATAGCGCCACAGGATCTTTAACGCCCACCTAAACAGGACACAGACAGGGAGCTCGGTTTCACATCTTATCCTGAAGGACGGCACCTGCGTCAATGCAGCACATATCCCCCAGCACTGCACTGGAGGGTCGGGCTAGACTCGGAGCTCAAAATCTCGACAGATGTGGGGCTTGAACCCCCAATCCTCTGACTCAGAGGCGAGAGCCCGAGCCACGAGAGCGACAGCGGAAAAAACTCATAAAGCCGCACTCGGAACGGTCGGTCGGGGGGGCGGGTTGTCATAGCCCAGGGCAGGTGGCCGCTAACCGTAAAGGAGCCAAAGGAGATCTCCGGGGACCTTACCAGCTCCACAGAACCATAGTGTTTCCGGCTGAACTCCCCACGTCTACAGCCCAGGTCTTCAGAGGCAGAGCTGCAAAGAGAGAGACACCCGTCAATAAACCGGCAACGCTGGGCATCTCGGAGTCTGGATAGTGACAGTACGGAACCTACCACACCCTCCCCACACAACAACAACAACAACAACAACAAGATTCCATTTATAGAGCGCCTTTCACGTCAGGAGGACGTCCCAAGGCGCTGCACAGTTGGGTCAGGACCCGAGCATTGGGGGGACATGGTCAGGGTGAGGGGAGGGGAGGGAGGGAGCGAGGAGGGGGGAGATGGTCAGGGTGAGGGGAGGGAAGGGAGGGAGCGAGGAGGGGGGAATGGTCAGGGTGAGGGGAGGGAAGGGAGGGAGCGAGGAGGGGGAGATGGTCAGGGTGAGGGGAGGGAAGGGAGGGAGCGAGGAGGGGAAGAGAGTCGAGAGGGGAGCTGAAGGCTGAAGACTCCCCCCCACACACATGCTCTCCCCCCCCACACACACACACGCTCTCCCCCACACACACACGCTCCCCCCCCCACACACACACGCTCCCCCCCCACACACACACGCTCTCCCCCCACACACACACACGCTCTCCCCCCCACACACACACGCT